AGACAGCCATGCAGGCGAAGCAGAAGACGCCCACGTAGTCAACAACGTCCAGGTAGTTGGCGAAGTAGTCCCGGCAGCCAGCGATGTAGGCCAGGTAGTCGACGTGGTCCAGGTAGTCGACGTGGTCCAGATAGTCGACGCAGAGGTCATCCCCACGGATGACAACGTGGAGGACAAGGAGGTAGTCACCACAGAGGTAGGTGTGGTCGGCACGACATCGGACCCCCCGAAAGGTACAGGGAACAACGCAGTCGACGTGGACGTAGTCTGCACGATAGCCGACTCCCCGAAAGGTACAGAGGGCAACGTCCTCGACAAAGGCAGACTGGAGGATGGCGAACTCCAGGGAGATGTACCGGATCCACCAAGAGCCACCCCACGAGCACCAGGGAGTATGCTGGGCGCCGGATATGGCGCACGCGGAGGTGTCCTGGGGCGCGGCAGACGGGTAGAGCGCCGCCACGGTGGAGTCCCCAATGCATCATGACTTGGACGTGCTGGCCGGACATCCACACCCATGTTGGTGCGCGGACCAGGAATAACCCACGTACTTCGCAGCAGATGGTAGACTTCCGCCACGACCAAATTGGAGATGTGGGCTGCCAGGAGTCGCTCACGTGGCGTCAGCGCGGGGGCACCGACCCCGGGAATACGGCCAACCCCAGTACCATTGTCCGCCACCAGGTCCTCCCTCAGGTCAGCTTCTGCGTCATCAATGTCCTCCTGCATGTGGTCTTCAGGGGGCTCAGCCTCATTGAAGTCCTCACCATCAAAGTCCACCTCTTCCTCCAACTCGATTTCCCCAACCGACGTGGTGCTCGTTGATGTAGTCCACGGAAACCAACCCACCATAGTCGTGGTGGTAGTCGAGGCAGCATCTGCCCCAAGTATTTCTGCAAGAACCTCCTCAAGCGGTTCCCCAGCCTCACTGAGGGCTGTTTGTGGGACCCCGTGGCCAAAGACTGGCATCGAAGGAATAGCAGGCGTACAAGGTTGACCATCCTCATCGAAAGGTGTTGTCATCCCATAGTGGGTCGTCGGTGCACTAGGGATGAGGTGGAGCGGTTGGGGCGGCACCCGACTCCTAAAGGGTTCAGTTGCAAGTCTTGCCCTGCGTTCTGCTCGACCTTCTGCACGACCTGGTGGTGGGGGAGGATCACGAGTGTACAGTGGTGTAGTTGGCGGTGTCCTCGGTCGATTAGGCACTTCAGGGGGCGGCGGCATCCGAAATTTTGGTCGAGGCGGAATAGGAGAGGTCGTAGTCCCGGTTCCAGGTGGGATATGAGACGACGAAGCCCCCGATCCTGTTGTCGCCCCATCCACACCATCCAGAAGAGGCACCCTCAAAGTATCACCCTGCGAGGAGCAAGCTCCAGAGTTACACGCTCCCCCAGAAGAAGTCGCAATCGTAGGGTCAACAGCAGTGCCATTCAGGTGGCGTTTAAACCCAGCATGTACACCCAACGGCCTCCTGGCAACCGGAACACCCAAACCCGCCTCAGGGCCAGTCGGTTGCGCGACCCTATGCCTTTCAAGCTCCTGAATTTCCTCCAGCCTCCGCCTGTAGTCTTCACGAGCTTGGAGCGCGGCTCTGGTGCGCCGGTCCTCTTCATCATGGTGATTGAGGACGCCCTGCACAATCTGCCCGAAGAACCCACGCCAGCGATGAGACCAGGTACGGTAGTGGGCGTGCATTGGTGCGTTGTTGGGCGGTGACGTGCGAGGTTCAGCAGGGTCCCGTCGTAGATTGTCCACCACCAAATCTGCTAGTCTGGTAAGCTGACGTCCCGCATCGCGGAACTCCAAGGCCGCCGACGTTGCACCCCATCTAACTGTAGCAGGGTGCCCGTACCTTTCAGCGCTGAACGTCTCGTTCACGATCGTCAGCGCCAGGCGATGGAGTATATCATGGGCATAGTCAATCCCCTGCGGTCTGTTGGACGTCCTTTCCGTAACTACGGTGATGAAGTCGGCGGGGCCTTGGTCGAGCGACATGAGCAGGTGGCCGCTCTGGTCGGTATGGCCGAGCAGCTCCTGTTCAACCAGATGTTGAAGAGTGAGGCCCTCCAGATCGGCAGTGCTAGCATCCGGGGCGTAGTCACCGATTTCACCCTCCATCGCCTCACCCTCCATTCCACCCACCAGGGGCCCCGTAGAAGAGGAAGTCGTTGTAGTAGTAAGCGCAATGCTCACCTGCCAACAATTCCTCCATCGAAGGTCCACCCAGTCCCGCAACTCATCATCCATGGAGCAAATGGTTGTGGTCGTTGTGGTGGTCGAAGAAGGGCTCCAATAAGTCACCCAGTTCGTGGGGGTAGAGGAGGAAGAGCTCCAACAAGTCACCCAGTCCGTGGGGGTAGAGGAGGTAGATGAGGTCACTCCATTGGCGTTTCCAAGACTGACAGTAGAGAGAGTGAAGGTCCTCAGTAAAGTCGTACACTGAGAAGAGAACGACGACCACGTAGGAGAGCACGTCCACGTAGAAGTCGTCCACCATGTAGTCCACGTAGGAAAACACGTCCATATAGAAGTCATCCACCATGTAGGAAAGAATGACAATGAGGCCCCCAGCGAAGGAGAGGGCACGGTCCATGTAGACAAGCACATAGATGAACCGCAGGACCAGGAAAAGGCGATACTGGGCGGGGTATTCGCGGTCATCGACGAAGTGTCATATTCACACACCATCGCCAAGAGCGGGCAGTCAGACACGGGGAGAGCGACCAGGAGGTTTGCAAACGGACTGGCGCTCGTAGTCCAAGGAGGCAACCCAGAAGCAGGTCGCCCCAGCCACATGGAAGCATTGTCCCTCGCGGCCACCACGAGAAAGCACTGCACCGTCCACAAAGCCGCCGAAGTCGCCCAAGGAGAGCACGGAGCCATGTCAGCGCTGGTCAGGGAGGCAACTAGCGAAGTATTCGAGCAAAAGGTGCTACCGCAAGTGTCGATCCCATCCAACTGAGCTCGTCAAGCTTCACAAGGATGGGGCCAAGGAAAGGCCAAAGCACTATTCATGCACCAGAGTGAGCTGACGTCCCCTGCTCCACGGCTGATCGGTTCGCTGTACGGACTGCTGTTTCAAGGCTCCCCACGTCTCCCGGTTTTCACCTAACGGACCTAACGACATCCAGCCCCGGCCAAGAGTCTCCGCAAAGTCCCTCTCAAGGTTGGCCGGAAAGAACTTGCCAGGGTGCCGTAGCACCCCAGCACGCGGCGAGAGCTGTTGTTGTCCCCGCCACCAATCGAGGTTCCTCCATTTGAGAAAACGTGTTGGCAGCCCCGGTTTTGCATGCACACCCCTGCCGTCGTGCCGTCATCTTCAGTTTGGCGGCACCAGTGCCCCGCGATCCGAACTGTAGTTCTCTGACTCTCGTGCTCCATCGTTCACACCCATGGTTGTGCATCCATGCCCTCACAAATCGGAGGGAGCGTTGATTGAAGTCAACCCAATTCTCGTCCGGGCATCGATGTACACGAAAGATGTCACGGAGTATGTGCAGTTGCAAACTGTTAAGGGAGGACAAATCCTGAGGTGACCAATACACTGCCCCTGCGACCCACGAAATCTGCCCTTCAACCACCATCCTAAGCGCAAAGAGCTTGTTGTGCCAACTGGCCCTCCCTCGCAAAAGGTCTCTGTGCTCCCAGAAAGCGGCCCTAATTCGTGTGATGAGCTCTTTAGCCTGGCGTGTTTGATCCCCATCAAAGGAGAAGTGCAGCCCCAACACACGTATCGGTTCATCAGAGGGCTGCACCTGTATGCGGTTCCTTTGGAACGTAATGTGACGAGCCCCAACATAGCCACTGGTGCACGTGATGGCCGTTTTACTTGCGGCGAGTTGTAAACCAAGGTCCTGTAAGCAGACATCGATTAGCTCCAGGCGTTTGGCAAGGCGGGCGGCACTGGTATCCCAAGGAAACAAGTCGTCCACGCCCCCTTGATGTCAAGTTTAGCGACCCAGAGTGGCAAATGCCACTCTTTTGCTACATCCCGGAGGCGCGTGAAGCATCCCACGAGGTCAGCTGCTTGACGATGCTTGCCCGAGCAGCAGATGTCCGTCCCTTTTCGAAGAATCGGGAACGTCCTATCCATCACTAGTCTGGAAGCAAGCTTCTGTAAAGCAGATGACATGGCTATCGGGCGGAGGTCGCCAGGCCCGTGTGGTACGTCAATCTTTGCCAGAAGCGCAAGCAGTGAGTGATGCCAATGTTCAGGAATCGCTGCATGTTGTACTGTATATTTGATGATCCCTACCAGGTCACCCGATAGTTGCTCATGGTCAGCAATGGCGCGCAACAGACTCACCCCAATTCCATCCGGGCCAACAGAGGAGCCGGGCTTCATGCGACTAAGTTGAGCACGAACTTCTTCAAGGGTGAACCCAATCCAATCCTCAGCAACGTCAACCCTGGCAAGAAAGTCATCCGGTTGACGATCCCAAGTCTCGACTGCAGGCCCACAGAGCTTGTTGGCGAGGTGTTCTTTCGTTTTGCTGGTAAGCTCATCCTCCCCACAAGCTTGAAGCATCGTCCCCCACCACCCAGAGCGCTTGTTCAACTGTCTTTTTCTTTGGCGATACTGTGCTCAATCACCCTGCAGAATGCAGAAAACCCGATTTGCTGCCCACTCGTGTCGTGCCAGTCGCCGAAGTTTGTGAACCTTTTTCCAGGCAGCAGCGTGCTTATGGCGACGAGCATGTTGGATGGCCTCAAGTACATGATCAGGGTCCGTATATCTCTTAGCAGAGTAGGGCTTGGTGTGACTGTGAGCCAAGGCGGAGATGTCATCAGCGTCGATCAGTGGTTGAGCCGGGAGGTCCTGGCAAACAAATCTGGGACGCGAGTCAACAGGCCATTTCCCCGGGCGACATGCCAGAATGACAGAAGCTGACAAAAGGGCATGGTCACTCCCAATGCGATGTCTGGCTTCTGCGTCGACGTGCACGTCCCCGACGGAGAGTTGCCTGCACCAACTGCTGTCAATGTGGCGCCCTTCGCGCTCAGTGCCTCGAGGATAAATAATGTGTGGGTAGTCCCCGCTGCGCAAGGAGAGGAGCGACGGGGCGGCAGCCAGCTGCTGTTGCTTGATTGCACAAGTAGTTAAGGTTGGTCGACCCCGATGCGATGTCAGTTCTGTGAGAAGCACCTTCGCAATCCCACAGAATTGCTTCATTGACGTCAATGCTCAGGATGCAGGGATGTTTTCTCCACTTGCCCGAGAATTCGTGCATGAATTCTGCAGCCGCTTGCTGGTAAATTCGGTTGGTCGTCCCGGTGTGGGCATGGAGTGAACCGAGTATAAGTTTACCTCGTCCACGAAGCTTGATAAGTGCCACCATCCCCCTCGAGGCTTGTTTGCGAGAGATGACGGAGTCGAACACCTCATTGGATATACCGATCCCTGTCCCTCTCCACTGATCCGGTCGACGATGGGTCAGCCAAAAGTGCGAGTCAGTTTCAGTTTCTTTCCATCCACTGTCCCCCCTGGCAACCTTCTGTACCAAAAAGACATCTGTGCAGGGATCCACCGCAGCAACTTTATCCACAGTTTGTCCCCCAAGGTTCCACGTAGCTACTTGCATCGAGGACCTTTCCTCTTCGAGGGGTCCTTGGTGAAACGACCATGCCCATGTCAAAGTTCTCGTTGGAATGCCGCCATTGCTTCAGCCCACTCAACCCCCGTGTGCGTGGTAACAGCCCTGAGGTCAACCCAACCTTGCGGAAGCTGGAAGAAGTCATCCCCACGGTTGTTGTCCTTGCGATGGGTGGCACTTCCCAATTTAAGCTCGCCATTCCAGATGGTCCCTGTCCCCCAATCAACGCCGTAGCTCTCGGGCGACATAGCTGAGTCGTTCTTGAAGTCACCCCCAATGCCCGCCAGCTGCATCGTCACCCTCCTGATTAGGGAACACAAAGCTGATCGGCGCCGGGCTTCGGGTGTTTTGAGGAAGGAGGCCCAGGCCGTCTTCCCTCCATGACCATGTTCACCCTGGGTACTTGGGAGTGCAAACTTGCCCCCACGAATCTTGCTCACAACCTCCCACATACGCTTCTTGAGGTCCACCGGCGACTCATCTCCCCGAGGTTGGAATCGCAACATCCCAAAGCTGCGGCGGGGCCCGAAGACTACGAGTTTTTCGGCGTCAATGAGGGGCTGGATGGTGTCGTGCTCGAGGATGGTCTTGGCCTCCTCCTCAATCTTGGCCCGGCGAGTGTCGGGAAGCCACCCTCCCACAATCAGCGTTCTCTGATCCTCCTCACTGAGTGCTCGCCCATCCTCCTTGGCTGAGCCATTGCCTCTGTTGTGCTCCTCCCCACTCTTCTTCTTGTTCAGGTAGTCCGCCCAAGGGTCGAGCATCATGTCATTGTCCTCCATCGGCCCACCACTTCCAGAGGGTCTCGCCGCCAACTCTTCCACTTTGGTTTTGAGTTTGTGGATGTCCCCCTCGAGCTCTTCGGTTTTCCGACTGGTAGCGTCCCCTTTAGCCTGGATGTTCTGCACCTTCGTCTCAAGACTCTTGTGTCGGACATGCACGGCCTTGAGCTCCTTATCATGGCCCTTGGTCACCTTCTCGACCCCCGCAACCCTGTGCCCAAAGGTCCCCCAGGCCTCTTTCATCTCACGCATGTGCTGTCCCAGCATAAGACGGAGATCACGACACGTCACTATCCCCGATTCATCATGTCCGCGCTTAGAGGGACTCTCATCATCATCCTCCTCTTCTACAGTCCCTCCTCGTCTCTTCTCGGGTCGCCTCCGCTTGCCTCCACCTTCGGCGCTTCCTTCCGGCCCTGCTCCGAGTGACTCCGGGTGTTCAAGTTCCATGGGTCCCACAAGATCCGAATCACCCTCCTGGTCTTCAACTATACTCGTAGGAGAATGAGGAATGGACACCGTCTCCGGTCGACGAATGTCGCCCCTTTTCCCACGCCGATGTCGCACACCCCTGGCAATGGCAAGTCACCCCACTACGAGAATGTTCGCTGAGCGTTGGGCACTTGAGCCAAAATGGTTTGAGCCAAAATGGGTTTAGGGTTTAGGGTTTTGGCATGTAGGGGTTTAGGGTTTAGGATTTTGGGTTTGGGGTTTTAGGGTTTAGGGTTTTGGGGTTTTGGGGTGTAGAGTTTGGGGCTTTAGGGGTTTAGGGCTTTGGGGCGTTTAGGGGTTTAAGGTTTAGGGTTTTGGGTCTTGGGGTTTTAGGGTTTAGGGTTTTAAGGTTTTGGGGTTTAGGGATGTAGGGGTTTAGGGTTTTGGGGTATTAGGGTTCAGGGGTTTAGGGTTTAGGGCTTAGGGTTTAAGGTTCAGGGTTTCAGGTTTAAGGTTTAAGGCCTAAGGTTTAGGGACCCTTTGAAACTGCAAGAAATGAAAACAAAAACAAACAAACCGACAACGCCGAAAAACCTACCGCCCAAACCCTAACCCCGACAAACCCTAATCCCCACAGGCCCTGAAAAGCCTAGAGCAAACCCCGAAACTAACTAAACCCTAATCCCTAAACTCCCCCAAAACTTCCCCACTAGCAAACCCCCCTAACCCTAATTAAAACCCAACACCCTAAACCCTAAACCCTAAACCCCCAACCCATAAAGACGCTGAGCTCCAAACTTCAGCCCTAAACCCTAAACCCTAAACTTCCCTAACTCCTAAGCCCGAAACGCGAAACCCGAAAGACGCTAAACTTCCCCAACGCAACCCAAAAAACCCAAAAGACCCCTAAACCCCTGACTCCCAACATCTTAAAGACATACTCCTCTTCCCTAAATCCCTAAATCCCTAAACCCTAAACTCCAAAACCCCAAAACCCTAAACCCTAAATTCCTGAAACCCCAAAACCCTAAACTCTAAATCCTAAACCCTAAATCCCTAAACCCCTAAATCCCTAAATCCCTAAATTCCCTTAACCCCAAAGCCCAAAAATGCCCTAAACCCAAAGCCCCAAAGCCCAGGAGTCTCCTTGTCCATCCGCTCGATGAGGCGATGGGTCACCGTCATGGCGAAGCTGACGGGATCCTGGCTTTGGGAATTTTTTTTTAAAGTGGACATGGAGCCAGGGTTTTAGGGTTTAGGGCTTTAGGGCTTGGGGGTTTTAAGGCTTGAGGGTTTTAGTGTTTAGGGTTAAAGGCTTTAGGTTTTAGGGCTTTAGGGTGTTAGGGTTTAGGGTTGGAGGTTTTAGGGTTTAGGGTTTAGGGTTTGGGGTTTCGGATCCTGGCGGTTCGTTGAGAGAGGCTTTGGGATTTTAGGGTTTAGGGCTTGAGGGGTTTAGGGAGTTTAGGGAGTTTAGGGTGTTTAGGGTGTAAGCGTTTAGGGTCTTAGTGGTTTAGGGTTTCGGGTTTTGTCTTTAGGG